CCCGAGCAGCTTAGCTCAGTCGGCTAATCTGGTGGTGCCACTGTGTGTGCGCTGAACCGTGGAGATCTCTAGGCCCCGGTTCAATTCCCATCGATGCCTCTCCTTGTGTTTCAGCTAGAGGGCTGAAATACAAGTTACAATAGCGCACCGTCTTTCGGATGCGACGTTTAAGCCGTTGGTCCCGTGTGCATTATGGCCCATGCGCACGTTAAAGAACGCAGTACACTCTTCGGAAAAGAGTAGGGGATTGTCTACCGGTGTACTGTCCAATCACCACCAGAAGGACCCCACTGCAAATAAGTCTTCTTCTAAACTTTCCTGGGCTATCTTTGGTGTTTACACCGAATAAATCCAATCCAATCCAATCCAGTCCTATAAGTCAAATCTCAATGAGTATACAGTAGTACAAACCTTTTCAATGAGAAAAGTGGTAATACCATGTGACCCTTGACCTGGTTCTGTTTTTGCATAAACAACCAGAACATCCGCATCAGGACCATTTGTTATCCAAAACTTACTTCCATTCAATATGTAATGATCACCTTGAATACAAAATTGACGAAAAATATTATATTTAATGAATTTTTATTAATCATTTATTAACAATATTCTAAAGAGTTGAAAGTTAATGATGAAACTTAATGATACAAATCACCAAGAAATGTTGTAATATCATTCAAAAAAATAATATATCTGTAATAATAAATGATGCAGTGCTTTCTTGCAGTGGTTAGTGATAAAATCATGTTTAGTGCAGTAATTCTTCAAGAGCAGCACTTATTCAAGAGACATTCTTATAAACTCACTTTACAAAATGTCAATTTTTTGTTGTGTTGAAGATTTCGCTAACCTTTTCGTTATTAGTGGAATGATATTGTTTCGATAGCTCATGTTTTTCTTTGTGTTTGATGCATTAAATTACTAATAATCAAATATTAGTACATTTTTATAGAATTATTTTTTGTGTTTACACTTTTTTGCAAATCTTTAAAAACATTGTGTTACATTCTGTCTAAAACCACTAATAAAAGTTATGCGTAGCCATGACAATTTAAATAAATCGTATTAAAAAAAAAAATTATTTATTCTAAATTCTCTCTTTTCAGTATTTTGAATAAATACAGTACATTAGTCTATAATACTTGCTTTTTTACTGTATATTGAATCAAACTTGTTTTACTCTGTTACATTTTGTTACACATCCTATCCATTTTTATCACAATATGACATTTTGTCCAAGACCACTGATGTTACTAATGTTATTTATTGCTTTTAAGTTATCTATACTTATATATTATATATATTTATATTTCTATTTTAAAGGAGAGTCTTTAACAGTGATTCAGTTCGCTTTTGACAATCCTTGGCATTTTTATATTTTTGATGTTCTTTTCTTGTCTTTGTATACCGTTGTTTCTTGCCTAAATTGAATAAATCAAATCAATCAAATCAATGTCATTAGTTCTCTTATATTTGTAATTATATGCTTTCTTCATTAAATGTGATTTTATCCTGGTTAAATAAATTACAGGTAAATAAATATCATTCTTTGATCTCACCTCTCTTTTCAGCTTTGAGGCTCATGGATACAACATCAGATCCACTGTTAGCTTCACTCATAGCTAAAGCTCCTATGTGTTCACCACTTATAAGCTGCAAATTAGAAATTATGGCGATAGCATACCAGAAACAAACAAATAAACAACTAAAGAAAAGGACAATAAAAAGCACTTTAAAGGTTATTTTCCACTAGAACAATTTATTCCCACGAAATAAAAGCAGTGGTTAGCTTCCTGAGGTATGATTGGATGCGCATTTTTTCACTTCGCAAAAAGTGGAAACAGTTCAAAAGTACTGAGCGAAAACTCTAAGAGGAATGTGAATGTGCATGCGCATAAACCGACGATTTTGATTTGGGCGAATAAATTTGCCAAGTAGAAAACAGCCTTTAGGTTTCGAGTTCCATTTTTTAATACTGGATATTTCAACATTGCAGCTGTGTGTTCTCATGATTACTCGCAATGAGGTTGGATTGCGGATTTAAATTGCACAAGGGTTAGAAGATTTGGATAGCCCACACCAATTTATTATTGTTGTAGGTAAAAAAGAATACTGGTATATTGCATTGAAGCGCTGTGGTATGCATTCAAGTTTTCTTATCTGCATGGTGTACTGAAAGTTTATATACATTATAATAATTTCTTTAGAAACTGATTATCAGGAATTTTTGGTAATATTTTCAATTCAAACTGTAGATTATTTGGGTTAGGCTGGACTTTTTTTATACCTCATTCTTATTCTAACTTATTTTTTAAAGATCGTCAGTGTAGGGCAGGAAAAAATGTAGAAATTAAATTTTGTTTTATCATTTAGCAATATGATCAAACCATCTAGGCGGAGGAGAAAATAAAAATAAAATATTAATAATGAATTAAACAGTGTAGTAATGAGATTGATAAATGCTTTAAATGTATATAATTATGGAATCAGGAGTGCGTAATAATATTTTCTTTTAATGAAATTTACATTTTTTGTGGCGAAGTGTACACTAACTGGCCCAATATAAAATTTTAATTTTATTCTAGTCTAGCCTGTTTCATTGAACTACATAACAGTGATGTACCAAAAATGTTGAATAAATTATCAAGCTTTTGAGGAATTTGAACTCTATTAAACTGGTACTACTTCCCTTCTTATCATTCTGCTTTAATTTGTTATACCTTGTTTAGCCAACCCTCCATATATAACACCCTCCGCTTCCCTGAAATCTCCAAAAATATGTATACATTTCTTCCTATATATACATTTAAAGCATTTATTAATCTCATTACTACACTGTTTACATTCATCAACAAAATTTTATTTTACTTCCTAAATGCTTTTGGCAAAATTATTTTAGCTAAATAAATAATAATTTATTAATTATTAATTAAAATAAAAAATAATAAAAATAAATAAATAAATAAGAAAAATTTTATTTTTATGTTTTTTTCTGCTTGTTTACTTAGCAAGAAATTAAATTAATTATTAAGTCTCACCTTACCTTTGGTAAGTATTTGTGTTTCTGCTCCTCACTACCATTCTTGGCTATTTGGTTGATACATAAGTTCGAGTGGGCGCCATAACTGAGCGAGACTGCTGCGCTAGCTCGACTCAGCTCTTCTAGAACAATAATATGATCAAGGTAGCTACCGCCAAGACCACCATACTCCTCTGCGGAATAAACAACATAGAAGATTATAAGAGATACAAAAAAATAAAAGAATATAAAAAACACAAACATACAATGTTATTAAAGCCATTGTATTGATTTTGATATATATATATATAGTATGGATATGAAGCATTATTTAATAGTACTACTACTATAAAAATGTAAATGTGTTTGTCCATGATGTGACAAGATAGCTTTGCAACAGTTTATACAACAATCAAAGTAAGCACCACACCATCTGGGCATAATTAAAAAAAAAAGAAGATATTGTTTGTCTGGCGCAGGCTAAGCTTAGCTTTTCATTTAAAAAAAATAGATGATCAAGGTGGTATATTTTTCATACAGTATTTTGCTACCATCATAAATATATTCAAAAATTAACAGAACTTACCAGGGACTGTAATTCCATGGAATCCCATGTCCCCAAGCTTTTTGTAAAACTCCTAGATTAAAATATAGAATAGAGGGTTAAACAAATTGGATGTACAGTATACAGAAATTGTTCATCCTTATGGATACAGGTTAGGTTAATAAAGGGAGCCAGTTGTAGACATTTTGTTGTGGGTGAGATGTGTCATGAAAGACACATCTCACCCACTACAAAATGTCTACAACTGGCTGCCCTCTGGGAAAAGATTCAAATGCTGCAACTCTAGAACAAGCCTGTTCCTTAACTCTGTTGTTCCATATTCAATTATAATCTTTAATGGTTGGTTGGCTTAAACGCATTATATTTATGTATTGTTTTGTTGTATATATTGTACTCTAGACTTTATGTCGGAATATATATCTAACACATCCATTATAATTATATGTTTGACTAATAATCAAATAATTTTTTATACAATGTAATATCCAATTGTTAATTTCCTTTCAGACAATAAAGTTATTTTGTATCTTGTAAACAGTGAATTTGTCTGTAGAAATGACACTGAGACATCGTCTTACCCTTATCTGCGGAAAATCGTTTGTTCTATCAATCTCCTGTGCATGAGGTGCAAGTTCGTCTTGGGCAAATCGGAAAACTGTTCGACGAAGCTGATAAAAAAGAATAATACATACAGTAATTATTATTCTTTGTAATTCACAAAGAGATTGATGCAACGCCTTGATGAAAATATCCATAAGATTCTTGGTTTTGTTTTTTGTTATGAAGTGGTTAAAAACAGTACCATAAGGCGAAAGTAGTGTCGCTAAGGAAAAAAATACCAGCAAACTGGTAAATGCACTTTTGAGATCCAAAAATACAATGTTGAAAATTCTAATCAATAGCAATTTATACTGTACATCATCTAAGCCAGAATGTGAACTGTAAATTGTATAAAGTTCAGCTGACTGACTGCAAATATATTCACAGATTACGGCGTGCAAATTCACCTGTTACATCAATGCATACGGAAATATTTTGATGCCTAAAACTTTGAAATAAACTTTTTTTGGATCGCCAAATTTTTAAACCGGATTTTCTGTTGGACAAAGTTAGATATTTGCTGCTATCACCACTGCTTCCGGCACTCATAAGTTGTCTTTTATTGGCCCGCATACTAAAATGCGTATACACCACCATTAGCATTAATTTACAGTGTAGGTCAGTAACTAAGCATAATCCTAGGCCTAGGCTCTAGAGTTGGCCTAGGCCTAACCAATGTCTGACTGCTCGCCGACAGAAGTAATTCTGAGACCTCGGAGTGACTCACCTGTTTCTGGTCTTCGGTGAGGCATGATACTTCGTCGTCAACTTCCACATACGACCCAATAGCTCGGGAAAGTTTAGTGACACACGAACTAGGCCTGTGTTTACTTTTTACCAAAACCGAACGAACAAAGGTGCTTGCTCTTAATGCCATCATGAAGTTTAGAAAGAAACAAACCTAAGTACTGGATTGGCCTAGCCCAGCTGCTGCTCATTGCTCGGTCAGTCTTCATTCATGTTGTTAATCAATGTAAGTTAAACAGCGCCACCAATCTTAAGAAATAACAGCATGGTCGAGTGGTTTTTGCAAAAACAATTACTGTATTACAAACACAACACACCCTAGATACTAGGCCTATCGTCGTCACTGTTTTCCCAACCAGCAGAGCAGGTGGTTGCTGCCTTTACAGTCCCTTCGAACTAAAAACACTATGCCTAAGTGTCCAAGATGCACCAAGGAGGTCTACTTTGGTGAGTTTCAATTATACTACATTAATGCTTCGTAATTTTTGTAATAATGTCTTGCAATAATTAGTAGTTCTAGTATTTTTTTTTAGAATAGTCCGACTGATGAACAAGCAAGAGTGGCAAGAGACATATCAAAATCACCGACATCTGTTTTTTCTCATGTAGTAACTTAAGATAGGCCTACTCATTAGGCGAGAGTTTTTTTTCTTCTTTTTTTTAATACCTTGTTTAGCCAATTCCCGCCCCCTGCTCATATTGAATTAATTATTTCGAATAAAAATTTTACTTTTGGCCACTTTTTTATTTTGATTACCTCCTCCTCTGCCTTGAAATCTTCAAAGATATATTTCTCAGTGGCGGATTTAGATGGCGTAAGGGGCGTACCCCTTACGCCATAATGTAAAGTTATTCACTTTGGGAAGTCGAACAAAAAATTCAGCTATACAACAATGGAAGGAGCCAACGGCAGAAAAGATGTACCAATTGCTGAAGAAGAAAAGGACTGGGGTGTGCTTTTTGACAATAAACTTACGTTTTCGAACCATGTCACCGATGCAGCCAAGAGAGCCAATTTAAAACTTGGGATAGTGAAGAGGTCATTCTCATCATTGAACAAGAAGGGCATGTTAAGCTATACAAGTCAATAGTTAGACCAACCTTAGAATATGGGAATTCAGTATGGTGTCCATTGTATGAAAAAGATGAAGATGCATTGGAGAAGGTACAACAGAGAGCTACCAGACTTCTACCAGGATTAAATCATCTTAGTTACCCTGAGAGACTAGTTAATCTTAATCTTCCAACTTTGGCGTACAGAAGGAAGCGTGCAGATGTCATTCAGATATTTAAAATATTAAAAAATATTGACAAAATAATAGGAGCTGACTTCTTTGAATTAAATCCCGATTCCCAAACCAGAGGTCATAGTCAGAAAATAAAGAATCAAAAAGTGAATTCAAGATTGAGACAGTTTTCCTTCTCAAGGACAATTAATGACTGGAACGATTTACCAGAGAAGGCAGTTATGGCATCATCTGTAAACAAGTTTAAAGCAGAGATTGAGAAACACTGGTCAAATTACCCACTGAAGTTCAACCCATACAGGAGAACATGGGAGTGATTATCTAGAGGGGCATATAAGCAATAGCTTCAAGCCCAACAACAAAAGTAAAAGTAAGTAAGTACAGGTAAATATAACATCTAATTAATAAAGGTGCTAAAGATTTAAGGAAGATTAATCCCCTTGCATCCCTACCAGAGGCTCTTTCCAGAGATTCCCACTCAGCTCGCACATCCACGCCCCCTCTTTCTTGCGAAGCTGGATCCGCCCCCTGTTTCTTCCTACTAATAATTATATAAATTTGAAGCATTTTTAACCATCCCATTACTAGGCCTAAATTGTTTACATTCACCAATAAAATTTTATTTTTATTTTCTCCTTCATCTGAATTTTTTTGGCAAAACTATTTGCTACTAACATAAAAAAACATAATTTAATTTTTATATTTTTTTCTGCCCTCCTCTGATGATAAAAAATAAGTTTCGCTAAACAAGGCATAAAAAAGGTCTCACCTTACAGATTTTGTAAGTATGATAAATGCAATAAACAAAGCCACGGTAACAGATAGGAATAAATGTCAGCTCTCTTTTTAGTTTAAAAAAAATAGTTTTGGCACAAAAAAGTTTGCGTTGCTAATGACTTGTTTATGTGCAAAGGTGAAGCATACATTCATCGATTCAATTCTGCGCTCATGGGCGCAAAGTCTTTTCCAGAGCTCTGATTGGCTGCGCATTTTCTCTTCCAAAAAAAACTGTTCAAACTCCAAAATTCGCTGAGCTGAGCTGAGCCCACAAGGGAAAAATTAAACTGTGCATATATCAAATGCTTTCCATTCGCGCAAATAAATTTGCCTAGTTGGAAACCAGCTTAGGAGTCTTGCGACCCTCTAGTTTATTTGGCAAACTTTGGGTCACCGTACTAAACTTTTTTTACAAAAGTTTTTCATGGTTTCTTACAAAGTACATTTATATAAATTGCAAACTTGATATATCTGACTGATTGTCTATTCTAAGCTGTGTTTATTATTTAAATTTAGTTTTCTTTTTAATATCTGTCACACATTAATCAATGTAACTATACATTCCTTCTATCAACCTCTACTTGAATATTCATGTTCCGTTTGGAATCCACATGCAAAATGCAATATTGTAAGGATTGAAAAAGGGAAGAAATTTTCTACAAGATTTTATTTTAATTTTTAAGAAAATTTGATCATGGCAGCCCAAAATATATTAATTACAGTCAGTGACTTAAACTAAATCTCATGTCACTTGAGGATAGAAGGAAAATTATTTGTCTTTGTTTTTGCTTTTGGCCTGATGTAAGACAGATATTTTTTTTAAATTAAAGAGTGTTTCCAACCTTCCGTACCTTTGCTCGATGTAACAGACACTTTTTTCCATACCATACCATACCGGCCATTTGGAATAGTCTTGAAATACGAAACTCAACTTCACTATAAACAACATTAAGATAGATACTATTGCGTACTGTATATTCAACAGCAAAATTAAAATTTAATGGAAGATGTATTTTTTTAATACTGTATGTCATTCTGTTCTCTTTTTTGGGCAGATGAAATAATTTTGGTCATAGGAACTTGTTCCTCATTCATTTGACCCCCTCTTATGTAGGCCTATGTTTTGTACTATTGTGTTGATATTTTATGGAGGAAATAAATACATTCATTGTTATTAATTAACTTGACATTACCATGATTTTACTATTTTCACAACATTTTTATCAGGCCAATTAGAACCTGGCAGTCAATAAGGTTTCTATAGTAAAATATCAGTAAATGAACAAAAACTGATTAGTTTTGATTTATGTCTCATTTAATTGGAATACACAATCTCCTTTGGCGGGAGTAACAGGGAGCTTTCGGTTTGTGCGACGACGCAACGCTAGAACGGAATCACTCATGTGTGACCATCCTACCGGGCGTCCTATGTTGTCTGCATACGCAGATTTGGCCAAATTGCGTCCTAGAATCCAGACAACGAGAAGAACTTAACGTTTTCGCATGCTCAGATGACTTTCAGCGACGTCATTACGTTCCACGTCCTACCATCGTCGTGTAATCGAAAGCTCCCTAATTGTAATGGAAAGTCCTCACGCAATTGGTGAAGTAAGTCACCATTCAAAAAACCTTCCTTACATCAATCATACAGAATGTTTTCATGAACAACCACTTCAGGCAATTAGAAATTTTCTATAAAATCAATTTTCATCAACTTTTAAATTTTGATTGAATTTAGTTACTGATCATGAATCAGTGTTGTTATATTTTTTTGACTTAAAGTCCAGCAAACTAGTATTACACAGTAAGTCATTTATGAACATCATAACATAGCAACGTTGCCTGCCTCCTACCACTGAGCTAAGTGCTCATACAGTGTTATATTTCGCCATTTTAATACTTGGCACGAACAAGTGACATACAGTACAAGCCGATTACTGAGTATAAAAGGAACTTTGTTCAAAGGATCTTCCTCAAACAGTTGGTCCGGTAATCAATACATCTTTCCAACAATTTATACATGCAGGGGTCCAAAGTTGGAGGAAGCCAGTTCCGGGAGATGTGGCTAATTAAGCTTTCTTGACAAATTTAAATTAATTTTTGCTACACATGATGATACCCATCGCAAGCTGACTTCCGAGAGACTGTTGATAGTAATATTAGTAAAAACATCCAAATATCATCATGAATTCGCAAAAGGTGGGTTAGTTTCCAGGAGATTTTGGGACCACTGTACATGAATTAAATTCTCTGTATGCTTAAATTGGTTTGAAATTCATAGTAAATCAAAAATTAATAAACCTTAGACTGGAGAAAAATAAAAAATCACCTGTTTTTAATTGTTATTGATTAATATTATGATAATTATAATTGTAAAATAATATAATGCGTGCCTGTAATGATAGTGGTATTGGATAATAAAGATTTAGGATTACTGTACTAGTAAGATTAAAAGTGTGAAGTACAGTAATTTACCTCTGATAAAAAAAGAGAAGGTTATGAATAAATTATTATAATATTATTATAATTATTATTATTATTATTATTATTATTATTATTATTATTATTATACAGTAATAATAACACAGTTATTCCTTTAAAATGATAACAAGATGAATTATAAATAAATATAAAGAATATATTTAAAAAATTACTAACAGTCATGTTGAAAAAGTTTGCCAACTTCGATTTTTTACATATTTGGCCAAACAAATTCTTGAAGCTTTGTCTACTGGTGATATGTATTGTGAAGTGATATTGCTAAGATACAGGTAGGCCTACAGCAATAGTCATTTGGGCTGCTTTTTAAAGTTCAAACACATTTAAATTTTAGAAAGCTCTCACATAGTGCTAATGAATAAAATATAAAATGGATTTTATAGCATCAATAAATTAATACATGTAATACACAAAATTGTATTATTACTGTAAGTCCATATTAGTCGCTGTTGGTTTTAAACTTTTAATAATTTAGTCTAATTTAAGGCTATCTACCAACTACAGAGTACATTCATGTTTCTTTAGTTGCTCTCCTTATATTTTAATTCTCCATGTATAACCTTGAACAAAGTTTAAAAGTTTAGAGTTGAAATACCACACTCATACAATCTCTATTGATTTTGTAGTAATGAGTGTGTTTTTAAAAACACTTTAGCCCTTTCGATTGTTGAACAAACTTGATAAAAAGATAAACAAAATCTAAGGAGCTTCTTCATTGAGTTGAAATAAAATGTCTGTTGGGTTAAATCCACTGTGAATTACTGTATAGGAAGTGGTGTGGACTCTATGGAATTTTATGGTTAGATGCATTGTTTACTCACACAATGGCATACCTCTGTGCCCATCACTCATACTACCTTTCCATGGCAATTTACAACTTGTGGATCCAGAAATTGATCATTTTAAGTCAGTTTTTAAAATAATTTAATCATTTTACTTGTATTTTTCACCAATTATCATATTTCATAACAGTATAAATAATTGTCATTCATTTCTGTATCAATTCTTTTATCTATTTTTTTTTTCATTCTTTGTTGGCATCTAACAATACAGTATGTAAACGATGTACAGTACTGTACAAAAACACTACAAAATGTATGCGCTTCAAACAATAGTGTGGTATTGCACTACTGTTTGTAGTAGGTAAAACAGTACACTATGAGTCCGTCGAAAAAAAAATTGAAAATGTCTTAATATAATTGGTCACAAACACAAAACAGATCAGAAAAGGTCTAGATTCCTTGGAGAGAAAAAAATAATTACTGTAATTATTTGTTATCAATTCTTTTCTGTATTTTTTGCTGTACTTCTGCCTTCTTTTTTTAATGTTTAACGTTTGGTTATGTTTTTTGTATGCCTGATTAATAAAAAAAATAATAAATACAATCAATTAAATTGTGTCTAAGAATGAACGTCAGTAAGAAAATTATTTTCACATAATTCAAAAAGCATTTTCAAATATAACAAATTGATATTTCCTGAGCTTTCTAGGTGTCATGTAAAAGAGAGGCAACATATCCTTTAAAATTCACACCTCAAGCCCATTCACGGTGAGGCACAGGTGTTTGGCTTGGTTCACTTTCAATGAGTTTCATATAAAAGTTTTAATTGGTAAATTAACATGATTTTTAAGGGTCGTGGGAAGATGTAGGATTTCTTTTTGGGCCCTACTGTAGGAGGTAAAAAGTTGCCGACTGGACTGTATGCTGTATTTATTTAAATCACAGCAAACATGCTTATCATCATCAAGTATCTACATTCAAGCTGTGATTTTGATAAGCCATTTAAAATAACCCAATTTTAAGCATTATCACAAATTGATTTACTACTAGAAAAGATAAACAGGGTTCCATATAATACAGTACTGTATACACTCTCAGACATTAGATGCTAGCCACTTTGTGAATAATTAAATCATACTCTGGCAATAAATTATTAATTTAATTATAAAATTTAGCATACTACAGGTACTCTCCCATTCTCAAAGTGTGGGCCTCAACCCAAAATTATTTTTTGAAGGGTTGTGTGACTTTAATGAGCCAATTAAAAATAAATGGGTATTATTTCATATTAAATGATAAAAAAAAAAACATTGTTTTTATAATCTTGAAATAAAACTATTAAAATACTTTACATGAATACCATATCAATTCAGGCCTACAGTACTTGAAGAGCTAAGAGTCTTAATCCTGTGATTATAACTACTTTAAGGATGCTCATCTGGTGACATCAAAGGTTAAAACTCTGGTATCGACATTCTACGCATCTCACATGTACTTACATACCCTGATCATTACAGAAACCATAACAATTAAACCATAATTATTTGTGATATGAATTACCCAATGCGTGTCAGAAAATAAATTTTCTGTATTTACTGTACGCAAATGTTCATTTTGAGCACCTTATCTAACATTGTCAAAAAGAACTTTTTATTTTGTTGATCGATTTTCATGAATCAAATTGTACAGTAGATAGAACATGCTCATGGTAAAAAAAATCAGATGTAACAGAAAAGTACCCAAAAAATAATAAACTAACACCATAAAACGTATGGCACACATAGACTGGTACTGGTACGGCATTTATAATGTGCCTCTTCCTTGCAGTTATAAAGCGCAATTCCTTTCCCTGGTCATTGGGTCCACATGCTAAGTGTTGCTGCTGGTAATCAGCGCAGGAGCTCCTGGGTGAAGAGAAGCAATGCAGATAAAGTGTCTTACTCAAGGACACATGCGAAATGCATAGCGAAGGATTGAAACTCTGACCTCGAAGTTGGGAAACCAAACCGTTCCCACTGCGCCAAACCGCTTCTTATAGACTAATAATTGTGGTCTGTATTCGCAAGTAGTATCAGATTGTCGATACCACAGTTAAGATGAAGGGACTGTACGCACTGCACGAGCGTCCTTTTGTTGAATTGCCTTGATAGAATCAACACTCTGTAAACCTTATCATGCCAAGGTTATCACTCCACTAACCTAGTAATCTTGAAAATTTGGGTCATGGGCCATATAATTTAAGCTGACACTATTTCAAATTGTCACTAAATTCGCAATCACACAGGACTTATTTTGGTAAAACTAACCAACGTGCCGAGCTAGGCTTACGAGACGAAAAGTCCTGTGCGAACAATGCGAGTTGGTTAAACTTCCTGAGTCACTGAAGTTGATGAACTGTACCACTCTGTTGGGCAACCACAAATGCGCACAATTTAGCGCCCCCATTAGTTGATTTCAAGACTTGGTTAGTTTTACCATAGTCTATGGTAAAAACTAGACCGCATCAATTAATCCAAGCGCAAACAGTGGTAAGATATTATGCATTGGAATATTACCACAGTCTCCATAATATCTTCCGAGTGCGACTGCGGCTTAAGCTTGGCCAACACAACATCTTGTTTTTTTGCCTGATAAAGAGCATTCATTTCAGAGTTGCTGATTTCTCCTTTTTTTTTTTTTTTTTTTGGTGTGGGGGTGTTGGAGCTCCTGCTTCTACTCTCAAATTGTAGTCTTTGTGCCAGATTATGCATACCTCTGTTATTGTCATAAGCCATTGAAATACTCTATGTGGAACCATGGGGAATGGTCAAACCAACATTTGTATCCTGTCATATTTACATGGTGTCAGAAGTGGTCCTCAGCTGTCTGTTATAAAGGAAGAGGGGTCATTCCATGTCAATTCAACCAAGATTTCTCATGACTTCCCCAATTTTTTTTTTACAGTTTAGGGAATTGCGACCCATGAGCAATATGAAGTGGTACTAAGTTATATTTTCATATCTGCCACCAAAAGAAACAAAAGGTGATAGTACTGTATACTGATGAAGTACTGGGCTATAATATGTTATTAATTCTCTCAGTACCGACAGTCCTAGACAGGCATGACGGAAACACAGTTAAATTGTTCAGCACAGTTAAATGCAACAAATACATAGCACATACTACTGTACTGCCAAGAGGTAGAACAGTTACCACAACTAACATTCAGAGATTTTTGTCATTGATCAGTGAGTTACATTTCCCTTAATTGTCTGCATTCTTTTACTTGTTCTTTCAGCTGAGAAAGTAACATCTCTTGGCAAAGATTGGCATAAGATGTGTCTGAAGTGTAAATTGTGTAACAAGCTGCTTAGCTCCGGTGGACATGCACAAGTTAGTTATATTTATTTCATATATTTCTAGAGAATCTGTTTTAAGTGTTAATTTTTCAATGTTGTTTTTTGCTCATGCTGAACTATCACTACTACTGTACAGTTCGCTTCGTACTTTGCATTGTTCAGGTGTGGGGGCCTCTCAGAGCCAGTTTTGCTAAAGTGTAGTTTTCTTAGCCTTGTGTAAGAAAGTTGTATTAATGCCTAACTCAATTCAACCTCCTGCCCAAGATCTTAAACAATAACTTTCCCAATAATTCCAGTTATGGACAAGATAATTTTTTTGTAATTTGAAAATCAATTGAGATTGTTCGCAATAATTTATATCCAACAACAATTGTAGGTTCAGTGACGGCACATGGGTCATATTGCACAATGGTCCAATGGCTTAAATGTCTCATCTGAAAGACAGTACGCTATCGTAACTTGCATTTCAGCTGAAATACAAGGAGAGAATTGAAGCAGGGAACAAGAGATCTCCGTGATTCAGCAACATACACAGTGGCTACCACCAGTAGCCGACTGAGCTAAGTTGCTCTGTATATCCCTCCCCTATACTGTTTTCCTAATCATCATGATATACTGTAAAGTTATTATCATAACATACTGACTGTAATATGGTTATCATTATCATAACTACAGTAAGTTTTCCAATCACTCCTCGACACTTTCTCTCCTATTTCTAACAGAAACTGTTTTAGACACTAAACTCATATATAATTTGTCACATCATTTTGATATGAAGACTTAAGACTGTAGCAAGATAATTTATTAAACATATCATCGAATCTGTCATATATACCTAAATCCCACTTAGTGTTGATGGTGCTCAATCAATTCAATTTTGGAATTGTTCTACATTATATTCATATTTTCTGTCAACTGAAGTATTTTAATGGTTGAAAAAATATATTTAGATGGCATTAAAATCAATAATGTAACACCTAAGAAATAGAGCGTTGTAATAGCACATTTCAGCTTTAAAAATGTGTTGCCATTTATAAAGCACTTGAAATTCGCATTAATTATGCATATTCAGATTGGCTGTCTAAAACCTAAAATGGTAATTGATGAGAATAGGTGACTCATCGTTTCTTGCTTGTCATGCGTAGTTGAATTTCATAGGCTGTGACATTAATACCGGGTTTTTAAGCATGCCTAATGCAGTGAATTAAAGCAAGTTGTAAACAGTATATGACTTCACAATCTGTTGTAATATGGAGTCATGCATGCATGGATATGGTCGGTGGTGGTTACTACTTGGTTTGCACTATCAACCACAAACTGTAATGTTGTTACTAAAGAAATGAATTGGTATTCATGGGTATAGGTTGGTGGTATGTGTTGTGTGGACACTTCTTCCAACCTTCTCCACTGGCAGCAAAATAGTTTCCCTAAATGTGTTGACAATAATGACCATTGAGTTTTCATTGGAATAGGAATTTAGTTCTTCTTAATTTACAATTCTCGCACTGCCCTCCAACTACTCAGTCAAAATAGCTACGCCCTCGTGTTTCCCATGTTTTAGAATTTAGTTTTGCATTCTCAATTCTTACACTGCCCTCTAACTCTAACTTGTTAAAATTGTGTTCTGAATAAATAATACACAATTTTAGTGTTAATAGAGAGATTCGGCGATGGGAGTCATGTGACCTGGGTGTTGGATGTAAACAATGAACTGGCACAGCGGAGATTGCTATGGCGGCTGTCCCATGTTATTGATGTAAAGATCATCATAATTGCTGTATTTGATCTTTTGAACGTAATGTAAGTTACTCTAAGTCGATTGTTGATGTCCCGAAATTCTCCACACAAACTTTGTGTGACTTGTCGTCCAAGTGAATTTGAGATTTTTTAACAAATGTTTGGCCTAGGCCCCTGCATATCTACGGCCTGTTTAGGTATGCACGAGTCTTCGACCCACAGACTACGCTACAATTTATAGGCTACTGTAGCTAAGGTTTACAAAGGATCACATACATTTCATAGCATACTGTACAATGCGAGAAGAACGCTAGAATAAGTAAATAAACGCTATTTTGAACAATCATTTTGCCTTTCCTTGCCATTTATTTCTCACATTAACAGTGGGTGGTTGTTTCTAAAACCATAACATACCTCTTTCTATACTTTCACACTGATCGCACTGTAATGTTTTCCATGGTACACCCACTGTAGGTCAAGTGACCGGCTGGAAACAAACATCGCCGAATCCTTCTATTATGTAGTCGCTGAGAAATACCTGTCCTGATTATATATTAAAAATTTAAAGCTGACTTAATATAAACTTTGTCTCTAGTAATCGTCATGGCGTTTAATTGGAAGCAGTGCTGATCGAGAATGAAAAACCATGTTTAGTGCAGTTCTAATTCGAAGAGCGGTGCATACTATAGTAATAAAGAGAGCTGCTTGTTCAGTTAATTACGGCTGTCACAGCTTACTGTGACCATAAACTGGGCAACTGTAGCCATTACCAATAAATAACAGCAATACTCTTGTGTAGTGTAAAAAGAAATCTAGTGAAAAATATTCATATTTCTGATTCTGATTGATTGAAATTAATATTGTTCATCACAAGTATATAAATTATTTAGTATACAGTATATAAAATATGAAAGTATATAAATACATACTCCAAGTATTGAAATACACGCCATCGTGTTGGGATTCAATATTTCGACATTAATTATGTCATCATCAGGAATGACTATATAAAATATAGTAATGTAAAATAATATAATATAAAAATAGCACTAGACAATTCAACAAACCAAATAAAATAGGGATATAATTATAATACCATAAGTACAACATATTGGAAGCAAGATCAGTACTACAATATTATTAATACTAATCCTATTCTTCTTGTCAAATTTTTTTGAACATGTTATACTGTATTTATTTAGTATTATTTGCTACATTATATGGGGTGCCTGATATAAATGGATACTGGTGTTAAAACTCTTATATTTTTTTGAATAGTGTCGGTTTTTTTCACTTTGTGCGCCTGCTTTTTTTCACCAGTTTGTATTGCTTGTCATGTTTATTATAAAATTAATATTATAATTAGAGATTTTAATCCGATTTCCTCTATCAGGATAAGAAGTAGTCAAGGGTCTAGACAAGGTCTCCTCTTTACAGTCAACATCTCTAATCATCTTTTCACTACTTTAGAATGGACATTCTTACTGTGACTATAATGATGAGTTGGAACACATCTTGTCAAATTAAAATGTGTTTTTTTTTTTTTATTACTCAATCCATTTTCTTAACATTCGCACGTTCCTTATATACTGTAGTGTATATATTCAATAGTGCCAAGAGGGTGGTGCTGGAAGGACCTGACCCAGGAAAAAAAAAATTGTTTTTACCCTCAAGATCTAATCTCTATACTAATGTTTGTAGTCATTAGATATTAAAAGCATGTAAACATAAAAGGCCAACATCATGGCTTCTAGACCCCACTATTTTCCACTCCCAACATTGGCTGCTCTCTGGTGGCCCTTTATTCAAGGGATGGCTTCAGCATACAGTGTGTGTCCCCCTTACCCAGTATCTTCAGAATCCTTTGAAAATGGCAATGAATAGTGTGTAAAACCCATCCCTCTTCCTATAAGAGGTTAAACTAGTGCCTTTGGTTTGTAAGATGCTCTACTAATGCTAGAAATACGTTTTGATGTAACTGTAATTATTGATTGAATAATTTAATTGATTGATTGATTAACTATTTCAAAATCATAGATTCAATCATTGCCAAGCTATCATTTTATCTTAAAAACAAAAATTACAAATTAGAAACATGATTAAAAACTCTTTGAAATGTACGAGAAAAGTGTTTTGTACCATAGGGATTGTAACCAAAGAACCAGCAACCATTAGTCTAAATAGAGAAGCTTGTCCCAATCACTTTTCGTTTCATGATTCATCAAAATGTATTATTAATGTATTGATACATTGACTCATTCCATGGAGATATCTCTTGTTCATTCATTCCGTTTTATATCCATTAACACATGTCACACCCAAGATATAAATAATATTCCACAGTAGTAGCATTAGCATTTCCCCGACTTTTTTGAATGGAGATGAAGTGGAGGGGGGTTGGAAGTTGAGTGAGGGGGCTTGATCGTTCCAAAATTAGTTGATATGAGCATGTTTTTTTTTTTTTTTTTTTGCTTTGAACATTTTCAATTGGGGGAGTGGGGATGCGGGGGAAGGGCACAAAAGCTTCTAGGGGCTATGTAGCCACCTCCTCCCCCCACCCCATCCAAAGTAGATACGCCACTGTCCAAAAGCCACTTTTATATTTATATGTCATGAAATGCTTGCACCTACAGTGTAGGACTGAGGTATAGCCTAAGCCACTTCACAGCCTGTCAACCAAGTTTGGGTATCTACTGCAAGCATGGGTGGCCGAGATCGGTCAGTGTGTGGTTTGAACTCCTGACCATGAGTCCATAACCAGAATGGGAACCGCTGAGCCTAACCGCCTTCCTCACAGGCGGTCCAGCCCCACCTCAGCCCAAATATAGTTATAACTAAAGTTTTTAAAAATTGATTGACTAATTAATAGGTTATGTCACCTTTAGATGCCAAAAAATGGCACCTTCAGTCCTGCTATCTCTAGCATAGAAAATGTTTCTAATTATGTTTTCCCGGCAGCTTTTACTGCAACTCCCTGACAGCTGGGGCAATTGTCCCCGACAGCTAGGCCCTAGGCCCCATGCAGCGGCAAGTAAATTCAGAAAATGCAGCCCCACAGCTGTATCTTTTTCGCATGTTCCTTACCTTTTTTCAGAAATTATGCATGAACAAAAATAGAAAGGATGTACAAAGAGTAAATTGAATTAGTGAGTCATAAAGAAATAATTTAATATGATTATCGATTTAAATGTTGTTGATCATTTTCTTCCAGCATAATGGTGAGCCATATTGCCATCAACCTTGTTATGCAAAAGAATTTGGACCTACAGGTAAAGCTATTCTCAGAATTATCCCACAATTCATTTCATTTTAGTAGGTAAATACTGGGCATTAGGCATTACAACAAGGACAAAAATAGCAACAAAAAGGATGATGTAATGTAATCAGTGGTGTATCTAGAAGACTTGAAATGGGGGTGCTGGTGGGGGACAAGAAGGTGAAGTGGGGGGGGGGTGCTCAATGATCAGTTGAGGGGTGGGGGTGTTAACTCATGCAAAATAATGTGATTTTAGGTGATTTTTAACTTAGAAGTGATTTTTTTGGGAGGCGACTGGGGGTCGCAAGGGACGTGCACCAACCCCCCCCCCCCCCCCCCCCCCCTCAAAAGAGGGGAGACTGGCGACTTATTTTTGTTCACGGGCAAAGCGCACAACAGTATGTAGTCTGCCTACTGATACTGGTACAGGCGTTTATAATGCCCTCTTCCTTGAGGTTTAAACCGCAGTTTTTTTTCCTGGACATTGGGTCCACATGCCAAGTGTTGCTACTGGTAATCAGCGCAGGAGCAGGCAACCCTACTAACAGTAGACATATTTACTTGTATGTAAATGAGAACTATCCAATGAAAAGAATTTAAAACCAAGTTAAAGTTGTCATAGTTCTTTTCAAAGGCTTACTGTATTCTTATTTTTCTTTCATAGGATTCCGTTCCGGATCAGCAACTGCTCCCAACAGCTTCTATAAGAAATGATCAGCATGTCTACCATTTTATCGACCGAGGGGCCGCTATATGTGTGTGTGGCTTCCTTGTTCCTAGATATTGTAAATATAGAATTATGTTTAGCGTAGTATAAACTACAAATTGAATATTATACAATTTCAACGTTTTGCTCGCCACCTCAACAACCAAGATTTTTAATACCTACCAGATACAGATGTATCAAGTGAAATTTTCAGAAATCTAAATTTTGTCTACAGCAGCGTTCCACAAACTTTAGACTGACGATTCAGTTAGGAAATTTGAAATTGATATACGACCTACCTAACCCCTTATTGTACGTTATGCAACACATTTCAGTGTATTTTACCCACCTGGCTTTATTATGTTGGGTTTTTTTTCTTACCTAAATGTGTCATGAAATTTTAAATAATTAAACACTGAATATTCATTATTACAAAATAACAATGTGTTCATATAATGCCGATATAGTGACTGACTACATCTAGCTGATTTTTTATATCTGTCAAGTTTGTGACCCATCAAAATTTAAACCCACTGGTACGTCACATTATTCCCATCAAAGTCACTGCTAATTATTTTATTTAGGACATATTTGCTGTTCTGTTATATAGAGGCTGCAATATTTTTGCTGTAGAAATAATGGTTATTATTAGAGAAATATTTGTTCTGTAAAAATCTCACCCCACTAATGTGTAATTAAGGATCCCACCAATACACCAATATGGGCCTTGTCATGCCAAAACCAGCATCTGTGAGAAAAACAAGAAAATTAACTTTTATATATATTCATATTCTCCACATTATAAGCTTTAAAATGATTGGTCATTACAGGAATCAACTTACTATTGCCAAAGTTATGAGTAAAAGTATTACAGCTTCTCTGTATTATCTATTCGTGAGTCGCCACCCATCTCTGTTTTTAAATGTCATTTAAGACTCGCTTGTTTCTTTCTCTTTGATTTCTTTTTTTTCCATTCCTTGCCAGCTAGCTTTTTTCTAGTTCCATCAGGATAGGAGGTGTCTGAGTCCAGGGATGGCTGAGATTCAACTGGTGCTGACAGGGTACATTTTGACAGATCCCTGCTCAGCGACGAGGGTGTATCCCACCCATTTTGGGGGCTAGCTTGGAATAATTCTTCTTTCCATATTTTTCCAATTACATCTGTTCACTTGTGTTTTAACTTAGAGACCCTAGTATTTTGCAGGGTACAAATTTATAACCTTTAACCTTAAAGTATACAATACTGCCACATTCTTATGCTAATTACTAACTTTAATGTTAATTAGTAAACAGTATGCTGTTTTTGGAATGGCAAGCTGCATGTATTTGCAATATTCCTTGTCAAATTTTCAACCACGCAATACCACCAGTTCAAATGTTTTAACTATTTATATTATAAGGAAGTACTTTATAAATTTTTAAGTAGATAATAAATGGAAGAGAGACTTTTAAAGATTTGTATTCATGTTAATAAGAACACTTTAGGCTGAATGACTACAGTTATGTGATTCAAACTGAAGAAGTTCCAATTAACTTGGGAGTTATATTTTAAATGCTACAGTCCGAAACAAAACGTTTTCTTATTACATGATAGACCTTTTAGGAGTGTCGATCAAACTTAAAAATTGGCCAATCAAAACAGGACTAATGACGAGCTCTAACAACACTGTCAGTAACATTTGTTGTAGAAATCTTCATATCTTGGACATAAATTTAGCCTCATACTCTGGCACCAAGTAAGCAGCATAAACATGCATGTTCTGTGTTCATTGAAGAAGTAGATCTTCTTGGCTATTAAATAACACCTTAAACTGTTAACACGTTCACTGCCAGCGACAAGTATACCCACATGTTGTTGCTGAGGGCGCTAGGGACGACTATACTCGTCAAAACTGGTGTAACATTCTAGCGTATTACTTCATTGTTATACATTGTAGAACCGCAGACTAGATGGTTCAGGAAAAATACACCTAGATGATAACATATTTGTGTTTGAATTGTGTTATGTTGCCGGCAGTACAAAAGATTGGAGCGCTCTCTGAACATAAATCAACCCATGCAAGAAGCGGAGGAGAAAACTCGCACGTTGCAGGGGCAATAGAAATTACTTGTCCATTGTCAGTGACGAGTTTACTCATCCCCTAATATTTTCCCGCCACTGTTTTGATGATAGAGTACGTGACTTGATACAAATTTGGCACACAGGGCAAAACCTAAAAAAGGGTCTTGCAGCCAACATGTTAAGTTTGATTAACACTTTATTGTATTTTTTTATTTACTGTTGTATCTGATAAAAAATAATAGAAAAAAAAGCTTGTGCTTGTAGTTAAGTGGTACCTGTCTATATACAAAAGGGTTTTATGTTTTAAAAATACTGTATTATGAATAATATTCATTGATTCGGAACTTTCTAAATTGTGAATAGAATACTATAATTATTTTAAAAATTTTAAATATCTTGGTTTGAAAAACTAGACTTTCAAATGTTTAATTATTTATATTCAACTTCAATTTGAAGTTTCAAGTGGAAATTTCCTGTCATGATATTATCAGTGGATTTTCAGATGATACGATCAGAACACGATACTTATGCCATCAAAGATTAAGTCCAAGTGATAATTGAAAAGTACAAGTACAAAGTGTGTTTAATATTATTGAGTTGATTATATCAAGCAGATGAGATTTTTCACAAATAGTCTGTTTTTTTTTTTGTTTTTTTTTCTTTTCAAGAATTGAATTGTTAGCCAAAAGAGGTTGTGGTACAATTTAGAAATATTTTTCAGTTATAATGCTACAGTATTTGCTTTTTCTGTCTCTGTATGGATGGACAATGACAGCATGTCTACAAAGTTTCAATACAGTAAGTAATGCATCTTCCTTGTGCTGTTAAATTATAAGCAAACATTTATTGTGCACTATTTAGCGATCAGGCCAAATAACAAAAATTCCTTGTTCCTGTCCCCTCTCTCACCATTTTTTGGGCCCGCATCAGTTTTTTTTTGTGTTTTGTTATTTTTAAAATTTTGGGGTTTTCTTTACATCGAAAATGGAAAATTTCAATTGCTGACAAATTTTATAGTTTACAAATGCATTTTTAAACACAAAGACCATGATACATGAAGAGAAGCAATGACAAAACTATTGACAAATTGTTTACAACACATTTTGCTACGCAGAGAACATCTTTTGGCATATTTTGACGAACTGTGGAAAAAACAAATATCAAATAATAAGTGCCTCCCTCACCAACTTTTTGTAAAACCGAGGACAGGAAAGCAATGATTTTTTGTTACTTGGCCTTCATCATAGCAAATGTTAAATAAATGGGTACTACAAAGGATTTTGATAACTGCTTCTTGTTTGTTTTCATTCAAATTTTCGAACATAACAACCAGTGTGCAAGGACTGTTCCCGGGTGCAAGCATGATGCAGAAAGAGTTAGAACTATAAAAAAAATGACCATTTATTCAGATCATGGTATAAAATTTTAGACCTCCATGTTCAGACGAATGGTGGCGGTGTGTACCTGTTGTAACGCAATGACGCAGTCCAAGCTGAGCTGAACTCGGCCCCTATTTACTGTGTATTATTACGATCGCTAGGCCTACTTTACGATATAATTGTTTGAAAAAAATGTTTGAATGCAAAGCCCAGAACTTTGCTAAAATGAAAGTGTTTGAAATCGTTGCCTTCGACTTTCTATTTTTATTTTCATCCACAACTGCATTGATTAAAAAAAATATTAAAATAATATTAATAACAATATAGGCATAGGGCCTTAATAATCAATATAACTAATAACAATAAGGATATAATAATAACAATTTTATCATGACAATAAAAAGGCATAATAATGACAATACTG